ATATGTGGCCTTGTGTGTCTGGTTTCTTTTATTAGTATAATATTTTCAAGGTGCATCCCTGTTGTGGTATGATCCGTCACTATTTCATTCCTTTAATGTCCAAATAATAATATTCCATTGCATGGATATACCACAGTTTGTTCATCCAGCCATCAGTTGATGGACATTTGGGTTGTTTCCACATTTTGGCTATTGTGAATAGTGCAGCTATGAATATTAGCTAATAAGTTTTTGTTTGAACAAATGTTTTACATTTCTAGGAATGGAATTGCTTAGTCACATGGTAATTCAATGTTTAACTTACTGAGGAACAGCCAAACAGTTTTCCACAGAGGCTGAGCCATTTTACGTTCCCCCCAGCAATGTGCAAGCTTCCAATTTCTCCCCATCTTTGCAACACTCGTCATTGTCAAGAGTTTTTGGGTTTTTTTCTTCAGCCATCCTGGTGGGTATGAAGTGATATCTCGTTGTTGTTTTGATTTGCATTTCCCTAATGACTAACAATTTTGAGGATTTTTTCACGTGCTTGTTGGCCAGTTGTATAACTTCTTCAGAGGAATATCTGTTCAGGTCCTTTGCCCCTTTTTAAAATGAGTTGTTTGTTTTTTGTTGTTGAGTTATAAGAGTTCTTTATTTATCCTAGATATAAGACACTGATCTGACATGTGATTTGCAAATGTTTTCTCCCATTCTGTGTTTTTTTTTTTCTTTTTGAGACAGAGTCTCACTCCATTGCCCTGAGTAGACTGTTGTGGTGTCAGACTAGCTCACAGCAACTTCAAACTCCTGGGCTCAAGTGATCCTCCCACCTCGGCCTCCCAGAGTGCTAGGATTAGCACTCGGCCTTCCATTCTGTGTTTTCTTTTCAGTTTCTTGATAGTGTCCTTTGATACACAAAAGTTTGAACTTTTGATGAACTTCAGTGTATCTGTTTTTTCTTTTGTTGCTTCTGTTTTTGGTGTCATATCTAAGAAACCATTGCCAAATTCAAGATCCTGAAGACGTACCCCATATTTACCTCTGAAAGTTTTATCAGCTCTATTTATATTTAGGTCTTTGACTGAATTTGAGTTAATTTTTGTTTGCAGTATAAGATAAGGACTCAACTTCATTCTTTTGCATATGGATATCCAGTTGTCCCCCATTGGATGTTTTTGTGATAAAATGGTATTGCATTTTGTCAAATCCCTTTTCTGTATCAATTAAGAAGATCGTGTGGTTTTCCTTCATTCTAATAATGTGGTAGACTCGTGTTAGGTTTCTAGGGCTGCCATAACAAAGTAGCACAGACTGTCTTAAAACAACAGAAATTTATTCTGTTTCGGTTCTGGAGGCCAGAAGTCCAAAATAAAAGGTATCAGCAGGGTTGTTTTTTTTATTTTTTACTTTTTAAACTTTTTTTTTGTCATAAACTAAGACACAAACAAACACACACATTAGCCTGCCTAGGCCTACACAGGGTCAGGATCATCAGTATCACTGTCTCCACATCTTGTCCCACTGAAGGTCTTCAGGGGCAAAAACACACATGGAGCTGTCATCTCCTATGGTAAGGATGCCTTCTTGATACCTCCTGAAGGAACTGCCTGAGGCTGTTTCACAGTTATAAGTAAGAGTACACTAAAATGACAATAAAAAGTATAGTCTAGTAAATACATAAGCCAGTAACATAGTGTTTATCACCACCATCAAGTATTACGTACTGTACGTAATTGCATGTGCTAGACTTATGTACGACTGGACTTGTGCAGGACTGGCAGCGCAGTGGGTTGGTTGCACCAGCATCATCGCAAACACGTGATGTGTTGCGCTGCAGTGGTGCAATGGCTACAACATTACTAGTCGATGGAAAATTTTCAGCTCCATTATAATCTTATGGGACCACGGTCTCATATGTGGTCTGTCATCGACCGAAATGTTATGTGGCACGTGCCTGTGTTGGTGATCCTCAATGAGCAGTATAGCCAGGGGCTTTCTGTATATTAACACATAAGACACACGCAAAATGTGAGCAGCATCATGGGGTCCCTGGTCTGCACTCCTGTCCTAGGTATTTGTTTCTTTTTGTTTCAGGTGTTTGTGGCCAGTCCTCACAAGACACAGCCTATTGTGGAGATTCTATTAAAAAATCAACCCAAACTGATTGAGTTTCTGAGCAGCTTCCAAAAAGAAAGGACGGACGATGAGCAGTTTGCTGATGAGAAGAACTACTTGATTAAACAGATCAGAGACTTGAAGAAAACAGCCCCTTGAAGATCTCATCATTTCCTGCCACGGTCATTCATCTTACTTGTCCAGTCTGTACAAAAAGTGTCATTTCAAAAGTCATTCTGGGGAAGGTTTTGGAGGGCCCTATTTTTTCTCAATCAGTTGTTCAGGATAGATGGAATATAAACATTCAAATGGAAAAAAATTAACCTAGAATAATATATTCATTTTAATCAAGTCTGTGATTATTTATGTGAAATCAGAGCCTTTGTATTAGATGTTGATAAAAGCAGTTATAACTTGCAGGTGCAAGCCCTTGGTCACCATGAGCCACCAAGTGGGAGCTCAGATGACAGGCACCACTGAGTCCTCGGGGGAGAACTGGGAAGGGGGCAGACTGCAAAGGTGCTGTGCCCATCTGCAGGCAGACGAACATTGCTTAAGGCACCAAAAGATCCCAGAGGATCTGGTTATTGTTTTCAGTATCCTTTTGTCCCTGCTGTCTTTGGACTATGAGCGGGTCTGTACCTGCTGGGAGGCAATACCCACCGCCCAGCCTCCTCTGCTCGCCCACTGCCCCACGCCCCGTCCCAGCGCAGCTGTTCAGCCCGCGCCCCGAGGTCGGGTTAGCATGGGAGCAACTGAGTAGGAACAGGATGGATCAACGAGAGTCACGGGGCATAGAGCGCCCACAGGTGTGTCCTGCTCACCGGAGAACTGCCAACAGATGGTTCTAGATAGAATCACTGCTGTTCCATGTTGACTTCTAGAGGGTCACTGAGTGTCTGAATATTTCATTCATAATTGTCATCACGGGAAGAATGCTCCGTGCTGGAAGTGTGTTTTAGACTGGGAATCGTTAAGTGGGATGCCAGCGGACACAAAGCCATGGGTCCAAAGGGTCTCTTAGTAGGAGAACTTTATCAATAGGAGGACATCGCCTTGGAAGGGGAAATGATTAAATGAAAAAATTCTCATCACTAAAAATTTTTTTTTCAGTTTATTTTCTAATAAACTGTCATTCTATAACTGCCCATCAAAGCCCTCCGTGAAAAGGTAGAAAACCTGCACAATGTTGGTCTCGGATATTCTCTTGCATACTAGGATGCCTGAGGAGTTAATTTGTGTTCCTTAAAAAAAGACATGGAACCAAAAGATTTTTAAAAGGCCATGGTCTGTTTTCAAACATCATGCATATAAAATGGAATTTTAAAGCTATATTTTACAAGACAGTAAAGGTACAATTGCTAACCTGTATTTTTTATAATTCTGTTTCTAAATCTTGAGTTGTTGACTTCCAGAGGAACCCTTGCTTTCTTTTTTTTTTTTTTTTTTTTACAGCACTTGCGTGTTGTGTTCTTTTTCTTCAGCCCCATATTTCTCCGTGCAGAGAGGGGCAGAGAAATGTGTTGTCCAGGATCAGTGCCCTTTGTAGATTTTGTACCAGAAGAATTACCTAGCAGGGCGTCACCCTTCTTGGCTAGGGTGCAGGTGTGTGTTTCTTCTGTGTGCAATGTGGAATCAGGAGACAGGTGGCATGGGACTTGCCACGCCTCCTCGTAGCAGCTCCGGCCAACGCCAGCCTGCAAGGACCAGCCGGCAGCCCCTGCCGGCCTGTGGACCACTCTCAGTCACTGAAGTCAGATTATTTTTATATTAATAACATCCTCTGACATTCCAGAGTCCCTTGGAATTTGACTTTTCTGGTTTGGCTTATTTGATTAAAAGAGATGAGTGTAAATATAAAAAATGAAGGTGAAATAACCATTGGAAATTTATTTGGTTGCTTAATACTGTTCTACAACATCATGGGACATATGTTTGCAATTGGAAAGCCAAGCCCTATTACAATTATTTTTTGATAAAGAAAACCTATTTTCTCTCCCTTGGGCTTGAATTATCTCTTTCCTAGCAACCCATTATCCCAGCTCGGTGCCTGTCAAACAGAAAACTGGAGTCTTGGGTTTTGTTGTGATACGAATTTGTAAATTATTAATGTGAAAGAGGGAGCAGGAAGTTCACAGTCAAAATGTGTTTGCACAGAGTTCACTGTAAATATTGTGAGAATTGAATTTTGAAAAGGTCATATTTAATAAGGTATTTCAAAAGCACACATTTAAATAAAGACTGACTAAATAAAAGGTACCACACACTCCTTTGTTGGTTTCATTCCTCTGCGTGTCCTGTGGCTGCGTTCTTGTCACGGCTCCAGACAGGGACAGCCCTGGGATGGAGGACACTAAAGCTGCACCGAGGCCCCAGCACTGTCCATGAGCGCCACCGACCGCCACCCTGTCCACATCCCACCATGGCGACCGCCACTGCCTGCCGGGCGCTCAGTCTACACATCCCACCAGTGACCTCCCCACAGATGGGAGTCATTCCCGTTTTATATTTGAGGACATTGAAGTTCTGAGCAGTTTAACAATCCCAGTCCTAGCACGGGATACCCCAGACACAAGTCCATGGTGGCCTGAGGCCAAATTCCTGTTCTCTTTCCCTCCTTCATCCTCAGACTGTGAGATTGGGACGGTCCAGGGTGTCAGGAACCACGTGGGACTCCCCCACTGCTCTCCGTGAAGGCCCTAGGGTGAGGCCAGCCAGGACAGAGATCATGATGTTCTTGGCTGAGCTGCCAGCTGGAGCCAGGCGTCTGCTTGGCCAAGTGTTAGGATTACTCCTGGAGAAAGACTCGGGAGCACACGCCCCTTGTAAATGTTCTGGACTCGCAGCCTCATGGGTTCCCATCCATGGCTGGCTCCGGGACAGCAGTCAGGATGCCCAGGGAGGGGCTGCGAGCTTCCTACAGCCCCCATCACTAGCCGCACTGGTTTGTCTGTCTGCATTTCCCCTGAGATGCATCTGCTGCAAGCTATAGTACATTCTGGAAATTACACAAGACCCGAGAGTGATTGTAATAAGGGGGAGGAAAATGAAATTTAAAAATCCCTAGAATTGTTTTTAATGTGAAAAGATAGTTGTTTCAAAATAGAGGTACAGATCTTCCTAGCCTATTATAGGAAATTAAGATTTTATGTTTTTTACTTGTTTTACCATTTTATCCAAAAGAATATTGTTACATATGATATGAATGATCATCTTTCATTGGATTGTTCTTTCCAGAAGGTTTTGGGTATTCTAGTGAGGGTGCACCAGGTGGGATAAGGTCTAAAACATACTATAAGGGTGACCTGAGTAGGTGGGTGACATGCTCAACCATGACAGGGAGCTTAGGACAAGGGGCAGAGGTACAGGAGTGCCCAGTACCTGGAGACATCACATGGACATGTCCAGGCAGCCATTGGACACATGAATCTGGAGCTCAGGGAAGGCATGGGCCAGAGGCACCGATCTGGGGGCCCCTGAGACTCAGGGAGCAGCCGAGGTCTGAGTGAGGAGGAAGCGATCCCCTCCTCCCTGTGATCCGAGCCTCAGGACCCGCCACCCTTTCATCTGCTCGTGTTTGCATTGAACCTCACCTGTAACTACTTCCCACTTGAACACTTTTTCCTCACCTCTGAGTGGAGCGGAGGAAACCGCCCTGTTCTTCCCAGGCTCACACGGCCCCCGAGGCTTGGCTGTCCTTCCTCCTTGGCGGCACTCACACCCTGTCGAGGTCTCCACCAGGCCTGGGTGCAGGCGCATCGTCCCAAAGCCTGTGTTTGATCCAGTCAGAAGTGTGTAACCCTGTTAACCCAAAGACCAGGTTGCCAGTGTTTTTAAAAAGTGCCATCAGGACAAAGTAATGATTGACCTATAGGCCAGGGCCTCACTGTGTCACCCAACCAGGAGGTCCTGGCCAGTACCCCAACATCAGGGACAGATGATGCATTTATAATCCCAGGACTCTCGGGCGAAAGGGGCGAGGTCCTAACTGCAGGCTTGCTCCTTCTGTGGGGAAAAAAGCCTCTGCCCTTTCTCCAGGCAGTAAGCGTGACATTCACATGGCTGTGACCTGCCCTGCCCGGATGAATGAGACTCTGTGCTGCTGAGGGTGTGGGAGGAAGGAGGCAGGCATGCCCACAGCTGCCCGGCGGCATCTGGCAGCACCAGGCCTGCCCTTCACCTTGACCAGGGACCGTTTCCAAGCAGGGTGGCTTTGTTCAGTTGTCAACTTGCTGTGCCCGTCTGAATCCAGGCACAGCACGTGACCTGCAGCCAGGGAACAGGCACCTGCATGAGACGTCCAGGGGATGGAGGGCACGACAGACCCCCTCACAGCTTCACTGTTAGGGGAGGCTCAGAACCTGGCCCTGGCCTCTCGTGGCACTGGGGCCAGGCTCTGTCCCTGCAGACCCAACTTCTCCTCAGCCTGGCTGCAGCCCCCTCGCTAGCAAGGTCCTGGGAGAGGAGCTCCTCTCTAGGCGCCCCCACAGCCCGCGAACCTCGCCCCGCCGGGTCCTGCCTCCCGGGCCTCCTGGAGCCGCCGACGCGCTGCCCTGCACATCCCGGCTCCTTGCGGGGCTTCCTGCCCTTGCGCTGCGGCGGGCGGGTGGCGCCCCACTCTGCCTCCAGGTGGAACTCGGGTGTCCAAGCCCACTCGAGCCCTTGCCCGCTTTCCGCGTGCCCGGCGGGGGACGCGTGACTCCCCGGCCCTCGCGACACCCGCTGCGCCACCCCGCGGGCGGCAAACGCAGAAGTCGCGTGTGAGTCTTCTCTTCCCTCCCACCGGCGGCCAAGCCATGGCGCTTCCGCGACACGGGCCAAGCGCGGGCAGCTCTGCGCGTGCACCGGGCTGCACCCGTCTCCCCACAAGTCCCAGGTGGTCTTTCCACGGGTCACACCCGGACACCGTTCTCCCCCGCCCCGAACCCTCCAGTGGGCTCCCTGGACACTCAGACCCGAACCCAAAGCCCGGACCGCGGTCCTCAAAGCCCTTGGCCTCCGGCTCCGCCGTCCCGAGCCCAGTAGGGCCAGCGAGGCTGGCTGCTCCTCAGTCCCCGCCGAAGGGCCCGTCTGCCCCGCGTCCTGCACCCGCTGCTGCTGCTTCTCGTCCTTCCTCTGTCAGCGTAAATCCGCCCCTTCCCCGGGCTCCCGGACCCCAAGCAGGGGCCGCCACCCGCGACGCCCGCCGCCCTGCGCTGGGTGCGGGGCAGGGTCGTCAAGAACAAATGCTCTATTGGTATTTTTGAGTGAACACGTGACTCATTCTTTATGAATGACAATTTCTCTTGCGTCTTTCTCTCCATTGCATCTCCCAGCTTCGCCCTGCGGCCTCCCTCCCGCATCCCCCGCGA